GGAAAATGCTGCCTTTCTAAATGTGGAAATTCCTGTGTCAGATATCAATATAATTCTTTAAGATGGGTTTAGGAACTTTTCCTGGGATGCTTGATTCTGACATGGGGTTTTGCCTTGTTGATCTTTGCATAAAGGGATGTGGGATAGAGAGCTTGTGCTTAGACTACTTTATGCTTAAACTTCTTATTAACTTTTGAAAAATATTTAAAAATGGGATTTTGGGAAGGCGGGTAACTCCCAGCTGGCTTAGTGGGTGGTTTTTTCGGCACCCTGCAGGATTCTGTACTGTGGGGTATGGCACCCTGCATGGGGCCGGGTTGCAGTAAGATTTGTTGAGTTGCAGTGATGCTCATGGAAACAGGGTGAAGTCAGAGTAAGGCAGACGTGGGAGGGAAGGCAAGGAGAGGAGGCTATTAAAGGAAAAACTGAAGAATCAAAGATTGTTGAGATAAGAACTTTCCTAGTGAAGCTGATGTTACTGCTGTGTGCCTGGCTGATACTGGGGCTTCTGCCACCCGAATGCGATGGGACAGAGTGTCGGGGAAGAAGCAGTAACAATCTGTAGGAGCTTCTTCTGCAGCAGACGTTGGAAGATGATTGGGTATTTGCTTCAGCTGCAGATCGCAAGCGGCTTACTCCAGCTCCAGCATTCACACCTGCAGCTGATGGGAGCCTCCAGGCTTCTGAGGCCTGCCCCCGACATCAACAGGCCGGTCTCCAGACAAGAAAGTGGGCTGAGTTTAAACTTTTTTTTTTTTCTTTTTTTTTTTTTTTTTGACACAGGGTCTCACTCTGTAGCCCAGGCTGAAGTGCATGATCTCAGCTCACTGTAACCTCTGCCTCCAGAGTTTAAGCAATTCTCCTGCCTCAGCCTCTCGAGTAGCTTGCATTACAGGCGTGCGCCATCGCACTCGGCTAATTTTTGTATTTTTAGTAGAGATGGGGTTTCACCATATTGGTCAGGCTGGTCTCGAAATCCTGACCTCAAGTGATCCACCTGCCTTGGCCTCCCAAAACGCTGGGATTATAGGTGTGTGCCACTGCACCCAGCCCTGAATTTAAACTCTGTGCATGTGATTGGTCGCCGATTGGTAGACAGTACCTGCGACATCTCATAGCTGAGGTGTGGGCTCTGAAGGTGGATTGTTAAAGGATGGGGAGGGCTGTCTTAGGAAATCAGTCTGAGGGCGATGAGCCCGTGCTGCAGCCGGGAAAGACTGCCCTCGGGGTGGTGGAAAGGAAAGTCCAGACAAGGAAGGAAGGTCTGGACTGAGAAGGCAGAGGAGGAAGAGCAAAGCACTGTGTGATGGAAGCCAGGACCGTGCTTGGCATGGGGGTGGAGGAGTAGCTGAGAGGGAGAAACTTTGGGGCCCAGAACACAAGAAACGGAGAAGAGGCTGAGGAGTCCCAAAGGGCCACAGAGTGACCAGGGCCACTGTGAATTAATGGAGACAGAAGCAAAAATCCCAGGAAAGAAAAAAAAAATCTCAGGAAAGGAAGGGAGAGAGGAAGCGGAGATGGGGGTGTTGCCCCTCCGGGTATCGGCCAGTAGAAGAAGGCAGATGGAAGAAGCAATAACTCTGAAGCTGGATGAGGCTGCCCCGGGCTGTGTTCATCCTCTGCTCTGGACAGCAGCTGCTGATGCCTTTTCTGTGCCCGGTGTCGATTGTGAGCTTGATGTCCCCTTGTTTTGCTAATGGCACCCTGATCCCAGTGGGCAGCCAGGGCACCAGGTGAGTCAGGCCCTCTCTGGAGGCAAGTGTGAGGTCACGTGGAGACTCAGAGGTGTAATGGGAGTGGACGGTGCCATTAGAATCTACCGCTCTGCTGCGTAGATGACAGGAAATCTGTGGCCTTCCACCTGCCCCTGTCCTGTGTCTGGCTTCTGTCCGTCTCACTTTCTGCCATCCCTCTCATCTCTCCAGGGATTTCCCTTCTTCTCTAAGTTGGCTGTGGTGGTTTCTTACAACCAAACGGCCCTCACTAACCCACGTGGATCAGTAACTCTGTCTTTGCCTTTCAAGGACATTGTGTTTTCTCTGTGTGGAATCTCTAGCTTCTTTGTAAGTGGCACAGGCGGTGGAGAAGGCTTCCAAACAAAGCTCAGGGCTCTAAAGATAGCATCATCTAATAAGGACAAAAAATCCCAGCGTCAGAGCATTGGGTTCCTTTAAGACCACGTTTGTGAGAGGGCCAAGTTCATGTGTGTTTATCTGGGCTCTCCACCAAAGCCATCATTTGGGCTATGGGTGGAGGGAGTGAAGTGTCTGGCTTTGCCATGGCACCATCACAGGAGTGGACAAGTGGGCTGTTAGATGTGGCAGCTGCCGACGCTGCTGACTGCAGGAACTCAGCCCTTGCAGTTGTGAGGGATGGTCTCTGTGAGAAGGCAGGCACCACATTTCCAGTTGCTATTAGATGTGCGCCCATGAAACATCTCACTTGTGGACACTTTCTTTTCACCCCTTGTGTGTCTTGGCAAGAGGATGGTACAGAGCCTCAGTCTATCGACAGAAAAGCAATTTTGATGGACATGTAATTTTAGTCAGGTACCTCCTTTTTTGAATTAAAATATTCATATGCATAGGAGTCGTTCTCTTTTTCTGGAAGCAGTGTTTGGAATAGCAGTTATTGTTGCTTATTGAGCTGGCACATGATCTATATGTGTCTGCCTGTCCATCTGGTGGGCTATCTGTCCATCTGCCTGTCTCTCGCTTTGAATGTATAAATGATATAAATAAAGGTGGCTTTGCTGAAGGAAGTCCATGGAACTCACCCCCTGCTGTGTCTTCTGCTGTGGAGGAAGGACCTGGTGGATGGGAACACTTTCAATGTGGCAATGAAATAGATTCATCAGATGGCAGCACATCCTTTCTGTGTTTCTGATACTTGTTATGTGGACTGTTGTGGGTGTGTATTGAGTACCAGGACATGGAGGGACAGGACCTGTGCCTGGTTCCCCATCAAGGCCTGAAACCCCCCAGGTCTCCTGAGCCTGGAACCAGAGCTGGCAGAGTGAAGATGAATAGATACTATTTCCAGGCCACCAGAATTGCCTGACAGAACCTGCTGCCTAGCCAGCTGGGTGTCACAGTCAGTGGGTGGGATCTCTCTCTCAGTGGGTGGGGTGTTCTCTCTCTCAGTGGATGGGGCCTCTAAGTGAGTGGGTTCTCTCAGTGGGTGGGGTCTCTCGGTGGGTGGGGTCTCTCAGTGGGTGGGGCATCTCAGTGGATGGGGTCTTCTCTCTCTCAGTGGGTGGGGTCTCTCAGTGAGTGGGTTCTTTCAGTGGGTGGGGTCTCTCGGTGGGTGGGGTCTCTCAGTGGATGGGGTCTTGGTGGGTGGGGTCTCTCAGTGGGTGGGGCCTCTCAGTGAGTGGGGCCTCTCAGAGGGTGGGGTCTTGGTAGGTGGGGTCTCTCAGTGGGTGGGGCCTCTAAGTGGGTTGGGTCTCTCAGTGGGTGGGGTCTCTTGGTAGGTGGGGTCTCTCAATGGGTGGGGTCTCCCAGGACAGGCTGGTTATTCCTGAGAATGCTGAGTGTGTCTAAGGCAGGACAGGCTGAGACCAGGTGATGGGGAGAAGAGCACGGAGTGAGCAGGAGATGAGGATGTGAATGGGGCACAGCAGGGCAGCAACCCCAGCTTAGGGAGCCCAAGAGCTCGAGTCAGAGCCCAGGCTCCTGGGGCCAGGCTGAAGGATGTCCTGGAGTCCAGCCTCTCCGAAGGGATGGGTAGACTAATGAGTCCGTGGCCTTTACTGTCAGACCTTGCCCTGGTTTCTGACTAGGCCCTCTGGTGGACACCAGTGACCACCAGGGTCTGTGAGCTCCAAGAGGTGAGTGGCATCTGACAGAAGGGGTCCACTGTCGGGAAGTCAGAGTGGAGGGCATGGGCCCAGACTCCCAGGCCTCTCAGAGAGTGACGGGCTGTGGGATTATAACCTGGGCTGAGAGGCCAAGCTGCGGAGGTGCTAGACCACAAGAGGGGCAGGGTGGGGCTGCTGGGACAGCATGAGGAGGTTCTGTGAAGAGGCAGGGCTATTGGAGGCCAGCAGTGAGGATTTCTGAGTATGTAGTGTGAGAAATAACCTCGCCGGTCAGATACTTGAAGTCAGTTTCTGGTAGGCAGGATGGAGAAGGGCTCTGTGAACATGTGGACCCAGGAACTGCCCCCACGTGGGTCAGATTCATGTCCTTCAGGCCTGGAAGGTGTGAGGGCAAACCCTGGTGAGGGAAATGGGCATGGTAACCAGGCTTTCCTGTGTGAGGTCAGCCTCAGGTAGTTGGCATGCCTGCTGCACACCCCCCCGCAATGCAGGGCCCCCAGGTCATCGTATGGCCCCCACTCACTGCATAGCCTTTCAGATTCACTGTGCGCACCCCTCCCCCTTCACTAAATGCTTCGCCATTCACTGTGGGGGGTGCGGGGGCAAGCAGCAGCACAGGGGTCAGGACCCCCGGCTCTGGATGCTGCTGTAACACTCATTCTCCGGGACAATGGGCTAGGCTGGGACAATCAGGCCCTGGTGTTTTATTCCAGGGGCAAACGGTGTTTACTAGCTGTGCCCCATGTCATCCATTTTGCCAAGAATGGAAAACAATAGATTTTTTTCCTACTTATATTGCTCTGCTCATTAGCATGCACGATATGAAGCCCAGAGTTGCTGAAGCAAAATCAGCAAGTCCTGATTAATTTGCAGAGCTCCAATGATGCTTCCTGACTGAGTCATGTTGGGGAAGGATCTTTAATTGGGAACAGCCTCGGACAGTAGCATGGACAGCAGAAGAGAAGGAATATCAGAGCAAAAACACCCCTAAAGCAAATGCCAACAAGAAAGAACGTTGGCTTAATGCTGACAGTTCAATCAACCATGTCTGAAAAGATGGTGCATGCCTGTGGACGGGAGTTCAGGGGGAAATGGAAAAGCACACAGCCAGATTTAGAAAATAAGAAGCTCATCCCTTTCAGCATCTGTCCTTGTTTTTAACAAGCATTGTCTTTTCCAGGTTGCCCACCTCTTGGTCTGGAAACCTTAAAAATCACAGACTTCCAGCTCCATGCCTCCACGGCGAAGCGCTATGGTCTGGGAGCGCATCGAGGGAGACTCAACATCCAGGTACCTGGCCCGGTGGTTGGAAGGATTTTGACTGCATTGTTTATTGCTCTGGTTCCTTGAGCTTGGGTGAGACCCCATGCCCTGGATGTAAAATGCATTAGCCCAGATTCTCACAGTAAGAAAGAATATTGCTGAATGATCCTAATTTTACAGAGAGAGCGCTGAGGCTCAGGGAGGCAACGTCTTCTCCAAAGACGGTAGTGAGAAAAAGCGAGGTCACTGGTACCCGGACCCAGGTAGTTCCTCTTCCGCCTTTTGAACACTTCTCTTCTACATGCTGTTGGTCTGGAAAGGACGGGGGGAAGGTGGCATGCCTGAGGCATGGCGAGGCAGAGCTGTGGCACACAAGGCAGTGCCATTTGTCTTCCCTTGCCTCCCTGTCAATGCATCTTGTCTCGCTACACACACCTCTTCCAGGCTTTCCTGTGGCTCCCTCCATTGCGTTCCCCCAGCCCAAGCCCTGAGTGGCTCCCAGGGCCAAGCACATCACGGCGGGCCTCCCTTCTGAGGAGGGTCAAGGGCCTTCCTGACCTGGGGCCTCAAGACTGTCCGGCCTCCTGCTCTGTCAGTCCCATCAGTCAAAGGGCTTCTCCAGGAAAGTGAGCTCCTCCCTGCACACTCCACACGCCACCCAGTTCTTGTCTCCAGGCCTTTTCAGTAGCAGGTTCCCCTCCCTGGAACTTCCATTGTGTGGATTCGCTGACCTGCCTTTGCTGGGCAGCACAGGGGGGGTCTCGATGCATGGGCCGTCCAGCAGGGTGCAGCCAGCTAGACCGTCCTCACTTCATCTTTCCGGCCTCCGGGAGACCTTCACCCATGAGAGGCCCACCCCAGGGAGACGCCAGGCTCCCCGTGGAGAACGCATTGGCCGAGCCCAAGCTCCTGCCTGTGGTCAGGGTGAAAAGGAGGTTGTGCTTGGGAATCACATCAGTGCTATTTACCTTCATGGTTTTTTTTTCTTCAGTGGCGTATTATTCACCCTGATGCCTTCTCACAGGTCTCCATGCCTGCTCTTAGACTGGGAAGTTGCTGCTTTAGTAGCCAAATCTGGGCCCACCATCCCCAGCCTCTGGCTCTGACCTCACCTGGGTACCTGGTGTCGGCCCCAGAGAGGGTGGTGTCGCTTGAAGTGTGTGTTTGCGGGCTTCAGCAGACAGCCCCAGCCCCACACAGGGAGCTCACTAGGCTAAATTGGGGTGTCAGCGGGGCTGTGCTTCTGTGTCTGCTGGGGACACAGGGAAACGGGGACGAGGTCAGCCCACTTTTGTGGTTTGTGTCTTCCAGAGCCAGCACCACATGCAGTGTGATTCCACTGCCACAGGTGCATAATTAAAGTCAGCATGCTCCAAAAATACATCTCCCCACACAGAATAGTTTGAAATGCAGTTTAAAAATAACCACATCTTGTCTCACATACGAGTATTTTGTAGGCGTGTTGAGCTAATGGGATTTTGTGATCGAGAAACACCAAGATGTCAGAATTAGAAACTGTGTTTCATACCCTAGTGCAGGCTCTGAGCTGGTGTAGCCAGCCCCGTGCCGGCCTAGGACTCTGCACGCACGGATGTGGCCGTGGTCCTGGCTGGAAGGCATGGGGCTCGCAGGATGGGGTGCTGGTGCTGGTCGCTCTGCTGACCAGCTGTGTGGCCTTGGGTGAGATGCCCTCCTTCTCCGAGGCACAGTGTCGTCATCAGGAGTGTGGGCTTCAGGTCCCACATCAGGTCCCACTGATAGCTCTGCCTCCTTCCTGGTATTGTGAGGGTCAAAAGGAGCATAGAAAGAGAATCGTCTTCGGCCATTCTCAAATGCATATTCTTACCCATTAGCGTTCATTCTGGCAGCTCACCATTGTGAGGTGCCTGCTATGTGCTGGGCACTGAAAGGGCCATGACAAAAGGCCCTAGGTGTTCTCTGCCTTCAAGATGCTTCAGGCTCTAGCAGAGGGAGAGTGGGAATCAGCTCCGAGCATTACTGGCATGGTGCTAAGTGCCTTATAGACGTGATTTCATTTATTCCTCCAGCATGGGAGACAAGTACTGTTATTATTCCCTTTGCCTTATAGAAAACAGTCACATGGAGGATGGAGTGACTCAGCTCACATTTCCCAGGAGAGGCAGATTAAGAATCCAGGCAGCTTGAAACCTTGAGTTGTTGCTCCTAATGATGCCATAAAACTGCCTCCCAAGTCAACAGATAGAAGTGGTGTAGGTCCAACAGCTGGAATAGTGATCAAGCCGTGTACATCTCTTTTCTGACAATTATCTCACATTGATTTACTCATCTGCACCCTCGCCAAATGCTGAGCCGTTTGCAGAAAACGTGACTCTTGCCTGTCTGGGTATTCCCCACCCCGTGTGATGCGGCGTCTGTACATATGGATGCGCTGAATCAACAGAGCTTCCGTGTAGTGGCTGCAGTGCTCAAGGGAGCTTAGGCACTGCTGTGAAGCCTAGGACGAGGCAGGACAGGCTGGGCTGCTGTCGCATGGGTTTTTCTAGTGCATATTTGTCCTGTGTGGTTGGCAAATATGGGGATGATGTCATTATGATACAGAAGCAACATTGGTTCATGTGGGACTTTTGCCTGTCTATGAATGGTCTGTGGGACCGAGGGTCAGCACCTGGCCACAGAATGCCCTGTCACGGGTGAGTATGGAGTCTGTGAGTGGTCTGTGGGACTGAGCACCGGCACCTGGCCACAGAGTGCCCTGTCACAGGGGAGTGTGGTGTCTATGAATGGTCTGTGGGACTGAGTACCAGCACCTGGCCACAGAGTTCCCTGTCACAGGTGAGTGCAGGAGCTGTGGAGTCCTGAGCCTGGCGCCCTATACCTCCTGTTCCTCTGGGTCAGTGGGCCTGTGCTGGTACATCGCTCAGTTCCCTTCCCTGTTCTGCCCCAGACTCAAGCTCAGCAGCTCCACACTGCCTTCCACCCCCTGGCATCATCTGCCTCCCTGCTTGTTTCCTGTTCAGATCAAATCCTATAATTACGGCTGTATTTAAACGCTATTTTGCACAACTCAACATACCTTCTTCATTGTGCTAATGTGTTTTCAGAATTAATTTTTTTCAGTCTTCGCTTCCAGACCTGGATAGATTTTGAATGGTCTGGCTGGAACCCTATTTTCCCCGTGAGCTGAATTTTTGTAGCACGAGATGTTGCAGCCTGGGAGCTTTTATTGGAATGTATTTGCCACATTACTGCAGAAATACCTGTCTCCCTTTCCATCATTTTAAGCAGAAGACGTTGAAAGAATTTTTATAATTCAAATTATAACTTTTTTTTTTCCAACTAGAATTTTACTTTTGCTAACTTAATAATATAAAGTTAGAGAAAAAACCAACATTTACATTTTATCACTACATTGGGACAAGATAGACTTTCCAGGAATTCAAGGAAGACATTCAGTTTGGCAGGAGAGCAAAGGTTCAGCCCCTCACCTGTGATGATTCTTATGTGTGCCCAGGACCCTTTTATACTAACTCACTTGTGAGGCTGTGATCTCATTTAGATACAGTCACTGGTTTCTTCCATTCTGGGAGCAGCTACAGACAGATTGAAAATTAACATTCTGAGTCTCCAAGAGAACATGTTGACAATGACCTCTAAAATCATGCTCAGGGCTGGGCATGCTGGCTCATGCCTGTAACCCCAGCACTTTGAAGGTCGAGGTAAGTGGATCACCTGAGGTCAGGAATTTGAGACCAGCCTGACCAATATGGTGAAACCCCGTCTCTGCTGCCAGGTGTGATGGCACATGCCTGTGATCCCAGCTACTTGGGAGGCTGAGGCAGGAGACTCGCTTGAACCCAGAAGGTAGAGGTTGCAGATCATGCCACTGTACTCTAGCCTGGGCAAAAGAGTAAAACACTGCGTCAAAAAAAAAAAAATCATTCTGGAATCCTTTGCCTGTAGTTAGTCTTAGGAGGTGACCCTATATTCAGGTGGGTCATCTGATGGCAGCTCATCACCTGCCCCACCCCAAAGAATCCTCCTTTGAGGACTCTAAGCTGTTTTCCCTGGGTCATAAACTAAGGAAGCTTCAGGGACAGCAGCCCTGCCAAAGTGACTTATTGCACCACCGTTATTATTTTGGACGTTTTCTTAGCTGGCAAGCCTCAAACAGATTGCAGCAGTAAGCACTGCCACATCAGAGGGCTGGCTTTCAACCTCACCCTCTCGAATTTAAATTACGGTAAGTCAGGGTCTGATGTGTGAGCAGAAGAAATGAAATACTGAGTGTGTGTTTGGGACTCAGGATGTCACCAAAATTCCTGCCTATGATTGGGGATGTAAAAAAGTTGGTGCTCAGATCAGAGCTTGGAGGAAACAGTTGACGTTTTCAGGTCACAAAGAAAAACATGGGACACTGCCTGCGCTCCTCAGGGGGTCTCTGTGACGGCCTGGTCACAGCCATTTGGCACTCTGTGGACCAGGTCCTGTCTCGTCCATGTAAGAAATGACTCAGAGTTTGGTCCCTTAGAGAGAGAGGCTCACCTCTTGTGTCTCTTCCATGAGGAAGCGTCTAGCCGTCATAATAGAGTCAGAGCCATTTCCCCAGCACTGCTGGAAGGAATCCTGAGTCCTCTCCTCAGTCATTTCCTGAAAAAAATTCTATGGAGCATCGCGATGCCAATATCAGAATCTAGTTCCAGTGTTCTCATCCGCTTTTTACTTAAAATGACGTGGGATACTTGGAGGTGGCCGCTACCCGTGGCTTTGTATGCACCCCGCACCAAGACGTGGATGCAGTTTTAGAACATTAACCAACTGAGTTTTATCCTGTGCCACAGCTCATGCTCCAGGGCACACCCTACACATGTCTCCCTGTACCTTTTGGCCCCAGTGCTCTTGGGGCCCCACTTTGACCAACAGTGGAGCCCACATTTCTCATGGCCGGAAGTCTATGGAATACCTTGGGTAGCACCGTTTTCCCAGGTCTCACCTGTACCTGACCCCCACCTGCCTGTGGCTGGACCCTGCGCCTGTGTCTTTGATCC